TTTTCCCTGTCGCTGTAAGACAGTTCTTTCCAAAGGGGGAATGAATCTCTCATCCACGCTCTCTCTATCAAAGCTACCAGACTCCATTGACACAAGCAGTCCCCTCCTTGAACACAAAAGTTGCGGCTGCAAAGACCTGACATCTCACTGCAGTGTTACTTCTGAAGTTATTGTGTCTTATATCAGGGTTAGAGACATATTCTGACTAGATGTTAGAGAAATATAGTTTGGCAAGATTTTGAGTTTTTGTAGAGTACCTGTGTCGGTGAGCAGACTCTGGACCGACTGAGCCTTCCTGAGTCCAGATGAAGAGTTCAGATGTGAGAGGGAAGCTCTGGCTGTCGGGCCGAGGTTCCTCCGGCACTCCCCCGAGGTCTGGACCTTCTTCTTCTGTGGTGAGGGTCTGTGGTTCGAAGAGATCTCCTGCTCGACCCGGTTCTGGAGCTGATCTTTACCCGGCTGGATGTGGTCCTGCGTTTGGTCTTGATTGTGGTTCTGTTTCTGGTCCTTAGTTGAAAAGGTTTGGTCCTGATTGAGGTTCTGTTTCTGGTCCTTAGTTGAAGAGTTGTGGTCCTGATTGTGGTTCTGGTTCTGTTCCTGGTTCCATGATAACTTCCTGTCCTGGGTCCGGTTCTCCTCCATTAAAGGTCGGACTTCTGAGACCAGAGGACGGGCTTTCGCCTCCGATACTCCTCCTCGATTTGGGAGAGGAAGCACAGTCCGACTGAGAGGGAGACAAAAGACTTTTCATCAGAAACACAAACCAGACGAAGAACCAGATGTTGTTTTGATCAACCGTCTTTCAGCTTTACCTTCCAGCTGGATTCTGGGAGAGGAACCTGGAGGAGATGCTGAGGCTCTCACTGGAGCTGTGAGACGCCCTGCTGGGACTCCCTATGGAAAACACAGTTAACGTGTTTGAATCCACCAAATATCCTTTTATCCGTCTGTTTTAAGACACCAGAAAACATCACAATCTTGGCTTCCTGTCCGTTAAAGTTCAGCTCTGTCAGAACTACATCGATCAAAGTTCACCACGTGTCGAGTCAAAGGAAAGTCTTCAACCCAAGTCTTAAAGGCCAAAACAATTATAAATACAAGTCTGAGTCTAAGACCCCATTTACACGGTAACGTTTACGTCTACGCACCAAATTCGAAAAAAGTCTTCCGTTCACAGTCCTTCGGCTCATTTAACGTGTCCATTCACACGAGACCACTGGAAACGATGTAGTACATATGCCGGGCCTGTAAGTGGCGCTGTACTTTCGCCACAAAATACACCAAAAGCAGCGAAGAAGACCCCCGAGCATGGTTGCCCTTCTGTTTGTGCCCCGCTGTGGATTTCGCAACATGTAGTTCATGTAATTCCACTTGTTGCTGATGGTTGTGGTAGAGGAGCTGTATATTTTTGCACTAACATCTGTAGCAGCAGAGGTGGGGAGAGGCGGGGCTATGGCTTCATCGTTATCAGGAAATGATCGTATAGGACGTACACACTGAGCCGTTTGGCCCCCCAGAGCCTTCCGGTTGCAGATCTATCCACCTTGGGACCCGTTATCGTTTGCGGGGTCCGTTTCCGCGTTTCCGTTACGGCCTCGTGTGAACGAACGGGCTATACGCGAGAGAAAAGTAGCAGATACAGCCCGTTTCGTTCTCGTGTAAACACCGCCTTACTGTAAGTCCTTCAAGACAATCAGAAGTTCAAGTCTAAAGTCCCTTCAAGACAACTAAAAACTCAAGTCCAAAGTCCTTCTAAACAATTATGTCAATATTCAATCAAGTCCAAGTCTATAATCTTCAAGACAACCACAAGTCCAGGTCTAAAGTCCTTCGAGACCATTACAAGTTCAAGTCTAAAGTAAATAAGGTGCTGACAGGGTTAATGTTTTGTGTTGTTCGTGGAGTTGTGTCCTGATTTACCTAAGCCTGAGAGGTCGGCCAGTGTCCCAAA